AGTAAAGGCATCACCGTGATGCTAAAGATGCTTCTAACATTAAGCTAGGAATAGTTATTCAAGACTTCTAGGAAGTCTTGGATAATTTAAACATATATCTGATGATATAACATGTCAAACAATATTCCAATAAATACAATGATATTTTATTTAAAGCTAGTTTAAACATTGAAATAATGCAAGGCTAAAAGAGTCACCTAGTGTGATCTAAGAAGCCCATGTTTTATGGACTGAACACCTCTAAGCCCAAGAAATCTATTAAAGCCCACATAGATGGATCTTGTTTCTTTTGTGAAGAAACTAGACACTAGAAGATGATTTAATCCTCTTATTTGGAAAGAAATTCTGGAAGAGACTAGTACTTCTAGTATCTACTAGATAGAACTTATACTTTTCATATAACACTTAGGTACTTGGTACTTAAATGTTAATCTAATATTTGTAAATGGCTTGAAGATGTTTACTGAATAGTAACCAGCTGAGCACAACCAAGTTGGAACTACACTCTAGAAGTTTAGTTTATTATTTATGCTTAGAACATAAAGTACTTGTAATGTAAAACAATATTTTTTTTGGAACAATGTATGTTTTAATTTAGCATGTCTAAATTTATGTCTCAGTTATTTTATTCAAATGTTTGATAATTTACTCAATCGTTTTTCATAACGATAATATTCATATTCTGAAATGATTAACTTCTATTTATGAGACTATTTCTCTTAATAGAATTATAAAGTAAATATCAACATTTTATAAATAAAATCAAGTAATATATAAAAACACTTTTGACTTCAACTTGTTTATATCAAACTCGTCTGTGACATTGTTATCTTTATTATATAAATGGCATTCAAATATTCCAACCTCAAGAAAGGGATCTTTGAAGGAAAATAATGTAGTTTATTTGACATATGTGAACCTTATTTATATGAAAAGGATTCCTAATGATATTTTCAATAAAGTGTAGAGAAAATAATTAATGAACTATACACTTTGATTTATGACTTCCTTTCTAATGAATGTCTGAGATTAAGCACATGATACCAAATCAACTTTATAAACAACTATAGTAGTTTTAATTATATTTTATGTGGTAAAGCATAATTGTGAGATCTTTGTTGAATGTTTCAAAAGTTGAGATACAAACTAGTAAGAACCATCTAAGGCCTTAATGATAATAAAGGATGAATTAAATCTTACTTGGTATGATCTACTTTTTAATCGGTGGAAATATTCTCCTTTAATCTTTTTGGGAAAATACTTCAATCACTATTAATTGTATCTTGAATACACATATCAAGTAATAAGTAGATTAAACACTTTATAAGATTTAGTATGGAATGGATCCATCCCCATCTTACTTAATGTTTTGTGGATTTGAAGCCGATGTTGGGCTAAAGCTTCTAAACCCAAAATCTACTAAATACATATTTTTATAATGCTCTAAATGTGGCCTCGATTATTATATGACAACCCACCAAGAATATGTTCTTTTATTCTTGTGAAAGCTAAGTTGCTAGAAAGCAAGATTCTAATGACAAAGCAAGTGGGAGGTACTTGGAACTTGAAGTAGCTCAAGAACCATAACCTTATGTAGTAATAGTTGGCACTAGTCTTAACAAGGATTGTTAAACTTGAATAATAGCTATTCACAAACACAAATTGTTCGCATTAGTGGTAGAAATAATCTATGACTTGAGAAATGTGGAATCTCTCATTGATGAGCTTTTATTAATGGTTTCTGGAAAAGCCATCAAGTACCAAGATGTTATGTCAGATCTCGAATCCGATAAATGACTTAGAGTCATGAACATGAGATGTAATCTATGTATGAGAATCAAGTATGGGCTAGATTCAAATTTCTCCCTATAGAAAGGCTAGAAGGAGTAATAATTCTTCTAGAAGGAATAAATTACATGGATAACCATACACATTTAAAGAAAGACTTGTAGTAAAGGATTTTCTCATACTCATGTCATTGACTATGATCCTCATAATACTCATGACATTGATTGTGATCAAAACTTTTTCACAAGTACTTATGATTAGATCAATAAGGATATTATTTACTATGAATTCAAATTCTTAATATGAGATATAGTAGATAGATTTCAAGAAAGACCGCTTTTTCTAATAGACATCTACTAGAAGTTATCTATATAGAGTAACGTGGAGGTTTTCTTAATCCATGTTATCCTAACAACATGTGTAGAGCTAGAGATCCACTTGTGGATATAAAGCAAACATCTCAATGTTGCAATCATCATTTTAATGTAAAACCACAAGATATGTTTTTATATCAAAATGAATAGAGCATGTGTGTTTACTAGGAACTAGTGGGAGTATAGTGACATTCCTAATCTTGTATGAATGACACATACTTAATCATTTGAAATCACATTCTGACTAAGCAGGGTCGTTTTCACCTTGACTCGGAAAGTGTTTCTAAAATAAAAGACTTACAAAGGAGAATATACATTCTTGGAATGTGAAATCTATAAGGGATAGATAAAATGAATGTTAAAGGTTTTATGTATTAATGCATATGTTTGCAATATCTTGAAAGGGATCAAGACACAAGATTCTTTTGGAGAATTCTTGGCATTGTCATATGGCACCATTTCGAGCTAGCCTCAAAAACACCTAGCTCATAGGTTTGAACTAGATGAAATGATTTATATTCCATTTTTTTGGCAAATGAATTCATCATTTACATCATATTATGCATAGAACATGGTATATGATCATGATGTAAGCATGTCATAGGATACTAATTGAATACATGGTTAAGTCACTAGATGACTAAGAAAACATTCTAAGAGTACTTTAGAAGAACTAAGAGAATGTATATGAGACAATCAGTTTAGAAAGGATCTTTATGGAAAGAGCTACACAAGATGTTAATTTCTAAACATATATAAATAATTATGACTTATAATTGGATTTTGACTTCATTATGGAATGAAGAATACGTTTTGTTGGAATGCGGTCCTAGAAAAACATAATGACACAATATACTACAAAATAAGAATACACTAATTTAGAAGTTGAATTCAAACATGATTGGATGAATAAGATCATTGAAAAATTATGTTGATCTCTGCCATTCAAGGATCACATAGAAATCTTTGTGACTTCGAGGTATATTTAATCAAGCTAAGAGACTCTATGTCACGAAAGAACACCAATCATATTCTCCAAGATATTTAACTATACGTGGAGTAAAGTTAAGTATGGAGATGATAGTATGCACAGAATTCACATAAATTAAATTTTGTCAGACCCACTGATAAAGTCATTCTTTTGAGCTTAGTATGAATGGTCACACTTCAGCTGTCAGACTTTATTATTCTAAAAATGGGATTTTGATTTGGATTTGGTATTTGGATATTGGAACATCATAACAACTATTAGATAATGTTATGATATATTGGGATATAGTCATCACATTAAGTTGTGTTCTAGATTAATATGTTTAATCCATGAATAATGTTATTATTCTAAAGGTTCATAGTCAGTTATAATTGTGGGAGAATATATTAAGTAAGACTATTATGAATTGGATTGGTTGACTCTCACTAGATGAATGTAGGCAAGTGGTTGTAACCAAGTTTCATAGGTACTTGTCAGAGAACTAGTATTGAACTGGCCCGCATCAAGATCATCTCATGGATCACTATCATGAATGATACTTTATTAAAAGGTACTATCTTTGTATCCTTAACACCTGAGATACATAGTGGGACTTAAGTGTACGGAGTACTATGCTTTGATATGGTCAAATCTTGTTCCATAACCGGGCATTTATCAAAGCCGTTTTCAATTATGGTGTGAACTGTGCACGAGGCTTATGTAGTCAAGATGGGATTTGTTCCTCTTATGTGTTGAGAGTTAGACATCTAAGGCCCCTTACCAGAAGTTAAACAACTAATGAGATTGATCGCGATCCGTATCTCATGTTCAACATGATGTTTGCAACAAAGGGATAACTGATAAACTTACCTTATACACCAATTGTAGCTTTGAGCTTTTTGGGAATTAGGTGTTGATAGAATGGCACAAAAGCCTATGTTGTTGGGGGCAGTGAAATGTTGCTAGACGTTCACCACTGTCTATATTAGTCTAATATGCATTTTGCACTAGTGGGAGATTGAAAGATCTAGTATGCTCAAGAATCATGTTAAAGTGATATTGCTAATTAACATATGAAACTAATGGGTCACACTAACAACAACTTTATATAATTGATTATTTATTAGAAATTGATTTTAATAAATATTCAATAAACTCTTATAATTAATTGGAAATTATTTATTTCTTGGAAATACTATATTTTCATTAGCATGTAACATAATATATATATATATATATATATATATATATATATATATATATATATATATATATATATATCATATGGTATGATTTATTAAGTCATGTACATTATTTTGGATTAGAACACTACTAGAAAAACAGTCTTTTACGACATGCAAATGCGTGTCAAGGAAGGCCCTGTCATAACGAGAGACGACACGCTTTTGCGCGTCGTAACCTTACGACACGCATTTACGATGCGCGTTTACGACGCGCAATGCGTGTCAAGGAAGGCCCTGTCATAAAGAAGATGACACACATTCGCGTGTCGTAAAACAATGCACATTTACGACTTGCATTCCGTATCATTAAAGCCCATGTCATAAAGTTTAATTGTTTTAAAATATATATATATATTTTGTAAATTTACTAATTTTCAAATTACGTCACATTTAATGTCTCATAATATAAAATAAAATTTCATACGAAAAAAATAAAAAAATTTGCACAAATTATAATATGTCATACAAATAATCATTCAAATGTTAAACAAAAATAATACATTGCTAACATGGGTTATACATTCCTATAAAACTAACAGGTGACCTTGATCTAGATCGAGGTCGACTTGGATCGATGGAGACGATTGGATTTTAGATACACAACATGATTACTAACCTAAGACCTTATGCAACAAGTGCATCCCATGCCCTATTTCCTGCAACCACCACACATTTTAGTGTTTCAAGGGCTAGTATACTTCCTCCTTGCCATCCAATAGCTTTCATTAACAATGGAACCACCTGTAATTTATTAAAAAAAACATGGTCAAAACTGAAAACTAAGTATGCCCTTGCTAAACATAAAACCTAACATACCTCCATCCCTAAGCGCCAGATGAAGAAAGAAACCCATTGTTTCAACAGAGAAGAAGCATACCATAAACATAATGATACTCTCTACTAAAAAATAAAGATACCAATGGGAAAAAAATTTAACATGTCCATGCAATGCATACCATAAACATAATGTCTATTTACCTGCAGCTGCTTGTTTTTGTGGAACAAATGATGTGATGTTTGATGTTAAATCCCCAAACGGATTCTCTAAAGTCGATGTTGACCTGTCCCACAGCTTTCCCAAATCAACAGGAGATGAACAAAAATGCTTTGTTTGCCAATTAAAGGGAAGTGAATCGTCAGTTTGTTGCTGTGTTGGAAAAGAATAATCCGCTACGGTCACCAAATCATAATCATCACTAGTTGAAATATCCATATCCTCATAATAAAAGTCTTCAACTTGATGTTGAGTAGATGAAAACTTGGAAACTAGTGTAACAGTTTCATCAGAGTCAACCACAGTAAAACCAACATCAGCATTGCTTGTTTGATCAGATTCAGAAGCCGCACTTTCCACTTCAGTAAATGTTGGCTGTGTAGAATAATGCATAAGAAAATTCAGGAGAAAAATGTTAAATAAAGGAAGGGAAATGCTATTACAACTTCACTTGACATAATCAGAAAAGAAAAGCATATTACTCCTGGTATTGGATGCGTGTAAACTCTTTAGATATATCCATCCATGTTTGGTATATCTTATACTGATATTTAGAAATGGGTTATATACATATATTCTGTCCAATTTCAAGTAACATCTCAATGGAATGGATTTCCAGTTACATTCTTGATGGTTAGAATGCAAACAGGGTTTGTAAATTTGGGGTCAAAAGGTAGATTATGATGAGAAACCTCAATGCATGCTAAACTGTTTGTTGAAGAAAAAAAAAAGCTAAAGGGAATGGATTTAATGTTTAAACCAAGTACAAATCCTACATATCATGAGTATATATAAGTTTTGAAATGCATGTTTTGGGTCTTTGAGAAGTGACACTTACCTCAGAGTAAACAACAGCATCATCATGCAGGGAAACCATAGGGTTGTGCTCAACATCCTCCACCATTCTGTACTCATCCATGTCCAGCATGTCATCTTTTGCACACTCATCAAAGTTGTCATGAGAACGTGTCATTGCAGCTTTCAATTTACTTGATTCTACATTCTCCATTGGTAATTGCTTCTCACTGGATTTATGATCTACTATTGTTGAAGCAGAATTACATTCCTGTCCCAAAAATCCATCCAGCTTTCTGTTCTTGGGAAGAAGACTCTCCTCCACCAATGGATTCAGATCCAAGTCCAAATCGATATTCATTGTCTCTGTACTTGTACACGCATCAAAATCCTCATGAGAACGTATCATTGCAGACTTCAACTGGATTGGGATTGACTGCTGCTCACTGGTTTTATCATCTTTTAATGAAGCAGAATCCATATTCATTGAGGGATTGCCCAACAGTTCTCTAATCCTGGAAAGCAGACTACTAACTTTAATTGAATCGCATCCATCCATTTCATCAAACTTCAGATGCTTAGGTTTAACAAGAATACAACACTCAGAAGATTGGTTTAAGGCTAAACCATCTGATTCCCTAGGGCACATGGTGACAGGATCCAACATATTTTTAGAATTTACTTCAAAGTCTGAAAATTCTTTGACTTCAAAGCCTGCATCTTCAATAGTTTCTTTGATTGCTTTTACCTGAAAACATGAACATTATTATACTTTTGCTAAAAAATGTCTTTGTTCTCTAAAATATGACAAGAAACACAAAAGAGGTAACAATGGGAGCTTACATCAACAAGTTCTGGAACTACACCCTGGCCTTGAAGTGGTGACACACCATTGAGATACATAAGTAAAGACTCATTGGATGATGAGCATGATGCATATTCTATTCCACCTATTTTGAATGTAATGGTTTTAATCCCTTGATTGACACTGTGGACTGATTTACTATCAATTGCAACAGCATCAGAGGGATTCAGAAGTGGTGTCTTCAAATCATCATCCTTCCCATTGACTTCCATTCCTGCAACCAAATCCACAACCCATTACTAGAGTATAAATAAATGATTAAGTAGACTTTAAAAGCTAACCCAAAATAGCTATCAATTGCATCTCCAGAAAGAAGTAGAGAAGCCACAATGCTTTTACAAATGCTTTCTTCTTGTGGTCTGATATAATCAGCAAAGCTCTTCAAAAGGTAAGTCATGAAAGAGACAGTCTACAAGAACAAGATAGGGTATAAATGTATAATCTTCAAATATGATTTAAAACTTAAAATGATGATAAAAGAATGATCTTGATAAAAATTACCTTAACTTGAGCCCCTTTTAGATCAGTGAAGCAGGTCTTCAAATGAGGTGGAACCTTGTTAGGACCCGGGACTAAGATAGCAGCAACCATCAAAGGTAACAACTGAGGTATATTAGTCTGGACAAGGCGATTATACAACTGAAACAGAAACATAACCACCAAAGGACCTCCCCATACCTGCTTTAAATGAAGAGACAACATGCTTCTCAGTTTCTCCCAATCACGACTGTAGTGTCACATCACATATGTAAAACTAATAATACTAATCATAATTCATTAAGATACACTTTCCAGTCAAAGTAGGGTGCTAAGCTATAATAAACAAACGAATGGAAGTCTGTACATTTGTATTGTAAAAAAAATAAAAATAAAAAGGTACCTGGATTCTTGAGGGACTTCTGACTTCAAAGTTTGCAGATGCAGTGGAGGTGAAAGTAGCAAAAGGGGTGGAGAATGTGATGGAATTATCAATGGTAAGGGTGGTGGTAGAGATTTGTTGACAAATCTTGTCAACCTTCAACAATGGATGTGTGCCCACTGCCAGAAGTGGTAATAGCTTAGAAAATGCAATGTACCTGTTAATTGTTATGTTACCACACAAACAGAAAATGTTTCAGGACACAACAAGGGCAGAATGGGAAAATTAAAAAATTATGAGGAAAATTCTGAGAAGCTCGATAGCAGATCTCGAGTTCTCTTTACCTTATCATCATCTACCGCCATTTTTCTCTTTCTCTCTAGTCCCTCTTAACTCTTAACTCTATTTCTTCTCCTAAACCATACTCAATTAAATATCTTGTCCATAGTGTAAAGTGTAAACACTTCTTCAACCTTGGCTGATGACTTGTGCTTCTTGCTAGGTCTCCCACTTGTATCAGCTGTGAGCAAACACATAAAGAGTTAGATTAGTAGGATTAGTTATCGCATTCATGCGCACAAACTTTTGTGTTTTGATTGCGATCCTTGATTATATGTTGATCGTATATTAGGGGTTTTTTTTCTAAATTAAATCTGAATATATCGTGCCCCATGATCGGTTCTTAGATTTGTCACCCGAAACAAAAATTCATGTTTGATTTGGAGAAGATGAAGATCATTTCAGGTAGTACAGGACCGGGCGGTGGGCAACCAGGCCACATAGCAGAGCACACGTCTCTAGGTCCCAAAACATACCTTTGGCGAATTAGATCTTATTGACGGACCACGGGAAGGCAAGAAGTTGGAGATGTGGAGAACAGTAGTCGGCGGAGTAAGTCTACGACTGTTGTTGAAAAAGCCCTAGATAATGGTCCCTGCAATGGCGGGGTTTTCAACGTTTGGAATTCCTTTTCCCGCTGCTACTAAAGATGAAGCTGCTAGATGAAGATGCGCGTTTCATTAAAAAAATATAAAGAGACATGATTTCACAATACGATTTTTAAGATAGGTGCCCTCCGGCTTTTTTTTACACTAATTTTAGCGCACGCAAAAATGTGCGTCCTAAATCCTTCACATTTTGGAAGAACTGACATTATTTTTAGGGCACACACTTTTGCGTATCGTAAAACAGCGCGTGTCACGGTTTGCGCGTCATTAAAGGGTATTTTTCTAGTAGTGGAAAGACTCTTTTGTCTTTTATCTAAAAGTTAAAGTTTATATCTTATAAAGAGTTATAAGAATTTTATAATCTTCTCTTCTCTTATATTTATAATCCATAACTCCCCAATTTCCACTTCAACTTCAAACGACCATAACTTCTTCGTTTCAACTCCGTTTTCAACGTTATTTATATGCACAAAAAAAGGTATTGAATAGCCCTACGATCCTATCTAATTACTTTTGACTTAAAACATACCAAACTAAAATCCTTAATTCATGAAATCAGTCTGAAACATAATTTTTCCCATTTTACCCTTTGACTCCAAAACACAAACCAAGGGCTTGGATCACATAACCAATATTATCAACATCCAATAGGGTCTAACCCTATTCCCTTGAAGCCCAAGGCATTTACTTAATCCATTTATTGCCCAAAATCCCGAAATAAAAAAACTTCTCGAAACAAGATGTTACAACTCTCCCCCACTTAAACTGGATTTCGTCCTTGAAATCCATCTTGGTTAGGATCTCTGAAACAACGGCTGCATATTCCATAAGCTCCCCTAACCATTTTGAAATCTAGGCATATTATAAAGAAAAGTAGAGATACCACTCAAAAACCCATAACTTCCAACAAACAACCCAATAATTTGAAAATAATCAACCGTAAAAACTATCTTTCTCTCCATAACTGTGTGACCCAACTTCCAGAGAAAACCACTCAAACCAGGAACTCTCCTAACTACAACCACAAACTAAGTTCGTCACTGTACTACCTAAAACCGGGAACCCATCAATCGAAACATTAGAAACCTTACCCAAAGACTAACGATCATCCAAGCGTCAAACCTACCCCTTGTTCTTGACTAGGAGCACCACCAAACGATGCAGAAAGCAACCCAAACATCATGATTGTGAATTTCATTCAATCCCATATCCGGAAATTATGCCTACAAACCATAAATATATTCTTGACTTTCGGACAAGTTATCACCAGCCCACTGCCCCCACGAGCATAAGGGTGATCAATCCAAGAGTTCTCATGTTGCATCCATATCTCTCATTATCGTAGGTGTACATCCACCTGACAAAACACTCGTGATATTAACAACGAACTCCATGACTCGAGATTTCAGAACTGATACCCGACATTGGTAACCAAGCTCCTAATAGACGGCCCGCAAGCAAACGAGGTTCATAATGAAAACATTCAGCAAGAGACTTCTGATGCATAATTAATACTCCCAACAAATTTTTACTGTCCCCATGATCCAAACCAGATGGTCACTAAGTCACCCAGCTCCCAATCAATGCACTAACACTCAAACTCGCCAATAAGACAAACGATCTGAGACCTAAGAGTCTCAATCAAATGACTATCAGGTCCCACCCATATGAATCATACAACCCTGATACATTGTGACACCTTCTAACCAATAAAACGATAGGCCCACGGTACTATGTCGATCTTGTTGTCATTCCATCACTAGATTGAAGACTCGCGACCAGCACCATATGGGCCTAAAGATACACAACCATCAACCCAATGACTTACAGGAACCCAATCAACATTCCTCTCAATACTAACCAAACACCACAAGATCCATACTCTTCTATAACGTACAATGCCTATCAGAAAACCAGCTGCTACCAATGCAAAATCAGACAAAAACATGGTCACACACAACCAGAGAATTAGGTAGGTTGTTGTACTCTTGTTCCAACTCAAAGGCTATAACCCAAAAGTGATGGGTTTTGAGAACTATATCAACCTTATGGTGCACATGCAACCCTAATGCTTTGGATCTAAGTTTTCTCTAATTATACATGCAATATTGTTTCCAAAGCATAAAGCCTAAACTAGCATACAAAATTTTGGTATATGAATCATAAAACTACTTAGAAGAATACCTCTTGTTGTAGCTTGTTGTATTTGGCCTTTAAGAACTTAGCACCTCAAGTGTGATGCCTCAAATGGTTCACAAAACACCACCAGCAATTGGAAGCTTGAGAGAGAGGATATGAGGCACTCAAAATCAGCTATAGTATCTCTAAGATTACTTGTGTCCCAATTTTAGGCCAAGGGGTTACATATACATAGTGTAGAATTCCAAGGGTTATGTGTAAACCGTAATTCCCACACTTGGGCTTGTAATGGACTAACACTATATGGAACCTTACATAAGCTTAGCCATCACTAATCCACCATGGATTATTAGCCCAACCTATATGTATCATTGATTTACACAATCAGCCCCTATATATTTAATTAGACTCTTTTGATCACTTAATTAATTCCAAATTAATTCTTGATCAATACTAATTAAATAATAAACCTCTATCTTAAATATCCATCCTATCAGATTGTTCTGGTGAATGCAACCCAAAATGGACAATGTTACTCTTGAGTCAGGTACATACCAATTATAGTTATGGGCTTAGACACCTAATCCAACATTCTCCCACTTGGATAAGTCTAATAACTATAACTGCAAGTACGACTTAAAACCCGACTGGAAATCGTAGCTCTTAAAAGCCGTTGTCGAACTCTGACGTGCCATTTTAGATAAGGGATCATATAATCCTCTGTTCTTCAAGATATCGTGCGGACAAATACATGGAACATAGTCATACTTATTGTCCAACAGATTGTTTCCTGATTTCCGATTTTTTTGAGATAGAACTTAATTGAGCACATCAATTTAGTTCTGATCACGCATGACACATAAGTCAAAACAAAATCATTGAGGGGCCCAAGATATCGCTTTTAATCCTCCAAGGACTAAAAGGAACAGATAAACTTTGACTTATATGCTTGTACTAACTACTTGTTAAATTATACACAATAGCATGTTTTATAACATCAAGTTACTGATGCGTTTTCGCACTATCAATGTACAACCAAATTATAGTCAACAACTCATACATCTCGGTTTGAAGACTATATGATATTATCGTCTCACAATCAATCATGATAAATTCCATGAAGTGATTCATGTGAGCGTGGGTTTAATCCGATACTCAGACCTATGAGCACTCATGAATGTTGTAGCAAACTTTTTCTATGTCTAAACACTCTATACAATCTACAAGCCAAATTCATGACAGTCTCGCCTCAATACCTACTTCCAAAGTATGATCGATTGTGGATGGTTTGAATAATTTTATTATTTTGGAAGTCAAAACATGCAAAATGAAACAATAGTAAACGATTGACACAAGATAGTAACTTTACTCATAAATAAAACTCCTTTTATTTAATCATCAAATGTCAATTACATTTTATCTATTACAAGTTTCTGAATAGCTATCTAATCATTAAAACTAATATTGTCCTTTAGCCCAATGCTCCTCGCATGCTGCAAGTGCTTAACCCTACTCAGTCCCTCCGTAAGGGGATCTGTTGGGTTCTCCTCTAAAGATACCGTCTTTGCTACGAGGAGTCCTTCTTCTATCCGATGTCTTATGAAGTTATATTTTTTGTCGATATGTCTGGACCTGCCATGATCCCTTGGTTCCTTGACTAAGGCGACCGCATTCTCGTTGTCATAGAAAATCTCCATAGGCTCCTTTATAGCTGGTACAACTCCAAGGTCTCTGATGAAGTTCTTCAGCCATATCACCTCCTTCGATGCTTCGCTTGCTGCTATGTACTCTGATTCGCACGTTGAATCAGCTACAGTCTCATGTTTGGAACTTTCCCAAGTTATTGCCCCTCCATTCAGGGTAAATACCCAGCCCGACTGAGAGCAGAAATTATCTTTGTCGGTCTGAAAGCTGGCGTCACTATACCCTGTCACTCTCAATTCATCACTCCCACCGAGGGTAAGGACCCAGTCCTTAGTCCTCCGCAGGTACTTAAGAGTGTTCTTTAAAGCAGTCCAATGAGCTTTACCAGGACTCCCTTGATATCTGTTGACCATGCTTAAAGCAAAGGCCACATCAGGACGAGTACAAGTCATGGCATACATGATCGAGCCAACTGTGGAAGCATATGGTACTCGACTCATCTCTGCTATCTCAGCCTCTATACTCGGACTCTGAGTTTTACTCAGTTTCGTATTGCTTTTGATAGGTAATTCACTTTTCTTGGAATTCTCCATGTTGAATCGCGTCAACACCTTGTCCAAGTTGG